CGCAACTAACCTCCATCCTGACCCTTAAAAGAGCCTCCCCCGCCGCCAGCGAGCGACGCGGGGCTACTCCGGCGGACGGCGGATCCGGGAGACGAGGAGGTAGGGAGCCTGGATTTGAACGAGGACTGCCGCACGCTCGATCCCGAGGGGTGCGCCTTCAGAGCGCCTCGGGGAACGCCGCCGTTCCGGTGCGCGCTCGATGCCATCGCCTCGGGAGGAGGAACGCGCCAGTCGTCGGGGCGGGGGAGAAATCCTCCCGGGGGCGCTCACATTTGCGGGAGGGGAGCGGGGCCCGGGGAGAAGCTCCCGTTCCGCCGCCGGAGACGGCTAGTTCGGCGGCTGCCGGCCGCGGCGGGGGGAGGAGGAGGTTGGCCGGGGGGCGAAATGCGGCCGCGGGGGGCAATCGGACGGCGGGTGGGGAGGGGCGGCGGAGGAGCCCGATTGGAGCTCCGATTCAGCTGCTGCGTGTACAGCAGTCTGCACTGAGCGAGGGAACGGAGGAGAGAGAGAGAGATTTTTGGGGGTCGTGCGTGAGAGATTTCAAATAAAAGGAGAGAGAGAGTGAGAGAACGGGGGTGGGCCCGACCCGACCCGACCCGATGGCGGTGCCCGAAGGGCGAGTGGGTTTCGGGAGCTGGTTTCCGCATAGCGCGGTAGGGTGGCGAAAGGACGAAATTGCCCCCCCTGTCCGTGACCCCCTTTTGCCGAGCCGGACGCGCGCCGACCGGCTTCGAGCTTGGCGCAGTAAAAATAAAAATGGGAAAAATGATACAAACGGTCCATGAACTTTGACCCAGTATACAATATAATCCCTGAACTTTTAATTTGTTTAATGTGATCCTTGAAATTTAACCCAACGTGCAATGTGATCCCTGAACTTATAATTTATTCAATGTCGTTCCTGAAATTTTAGTACATGTTCATTTTAGTTCCTAAACTATATGAAAATATTCAATACAGTCCTTTCATTAATTCAAGTTATGTACCCAAATTTCAGGGACGATATTGAACAAATTAAAAGTTTAGGGACCGCATTAAATATTATACTAAAGTTCATGAACTATATTGAATAAATTTAAAATTCAGGGATTAGATTGCATATTAAGTCAAAGTCTGAGGATTATTTATGTCTTTATACAATAAAAAAAAAAGAGAGAGAGAGAAGAGAGTCTCTTCATTTTTATCGCGGTGAATTTGTTTTTCTGTTCAGACCCCAAAAAAAAAAAAAATTGTTGCGTCTACTCCCCGACATATATATATGTGGTCAATGCTTGTCCCGGTCGTTTTTCGTAATAAATGCATTTTCTTCTTCTTCCAAACTTTTTTAAATGGGCGCAATAAGGAAAAAGGTGTCTTTCCAATTTCCCATAAATCGCGAGGCACATCCGAAGAGGCCTTACAAAAGTACTCGATTTAGATGAAGGTCGCACATCGAACGCGTGCACTGGAGATTAGAATTTGCACTGTTTATCCGGGTTGCCATTTATCGAGGAGGGATCGTGATTTCTCCAGGAATCTTAATTAGATTTTTTTAAAAACTTTTTCGACAAAGCATGCCCGTTGAAATTCCCAAAAAAAGAAAGGAAGAAATTTGGCAACAAAGTAAGGTAAGAAACATCGAAAGGGCCACGGTGGAACCAAAAGTTTAAGACGCCAAAACGAACTCAATCGGACACAAATCATGCCACTCTTTTGATAGGATATTTCCTGCCATCTAAATCCAATTACATACAAATCTTATCTTTTTTGCATAAAAAAAAGAAGCTCGGTATGGTAAAAAAAAAAATTAGATTAGAAATGGCCTTGTGCGATCCAAGAATAGGTTGGTATAACGCTAGTTTCATTTCCTCAAAAAAGCCGGTGCCTTATAGAGAAATATATCAATTTGGATTCTGCTTCTTAGTTTGGCAGCCTGGATATGATTTTTTTTTCCCACTACCTTTGGATAAGATTCAATATTACCACACCCTAAAAACTACAAAATGCAATGGAAATTGGAATATTTTTGGCTCCCTTTATTTAGCGAAAAATGTGACATTTTTGGAAAATATTTTTCAGGAAATCATTTTCGAGGAAATGACAATATTTTAAGATGTTTGGTTGAAACCTAAACATGAACTATAAAATATTTTATGTCATTTGGTATGGAAAATTTAATTTGATTTAACTGGGAAAATTACCGGAAAATTAGAATTATTTTTTTTTACGTTTTTTTCTTTTCTTTATTTATTTTTTATTTGTTTTTCTTTCTTTCTTTTGTCCTTCTTCCTCGGCCAATCGTCGACCATGGCGATGATAGGCTATAAGCGAGAGACGAGCTTGCCTAAGGTCCACGAGGCTCGAGCTCGCCAAATTCGAACGAGTTGAGCCTCCCCCGCCTCGATTGAGGCTCCACCTCACTAAATCCGGTGAGCTCGAGCCTCACCGAATCAATGAGCTCGAGGCCTCACCAGATCAAAGGTCGAATCTCAAAGCTCGAAGTGGCTAGGCCGAAGCTCAAAGGTTGAAGCCCGAGGCCTCACAATATCAGCAAGGCCCGACCACTAGCGAGCTCAAAGCTCGCTGATTTGGTGAGGCTCGACATCGACCTTGCCGAATTTGGTGAGGCTCGGCTCGCCAGAATCTAATGAGCTTGAGCCTCACCAGTCTTGGGGGAGCTTGTCACTTATAAGTGCTCGGTCGACAAGAAGAAGGAAATAGAAAAGAAAAAAGAAAAAAAAATAAAAAATTCAATTTTTTAAAAATATTTTTATAAGAACAAACATTTTGTTAATTAGGACTCCAACTTGACCGCTGAGGGCCTGCACAAAAACTTTATGGACTCGAGCCTAAGCGCCAAAAGCCAGAGCTCAAGAGTCGAGGACTCGAGCACTGCCTATATGGATCCAGGCTCGAGTGTTAGGCATTTGGCACGGGCACTAAGGCTTTGGGTCCAACCTCAATGAACCTGGACATGGGCGTTGGGGGCTCAGGACACATCTCTGGAGACCTTGGTCCTGAATGCCAAGACCCAAAAGGCAATGTTGGGGTTCCAGTGTCTAAGCGTGAGTTTCGAGTCTAAGCATTGATACCAAGTTATATATTTGCAAAATATTTTTCGATTTTTCAAAAAGAAAATCATTTTCTTGAATTTAAGTATAGATTTTCCGTTGATTCATCTTCCCGACCAAACAAAATACCGGAAAATGAGAAAAACGCTTTTCCAGAAAATACTTTTCGCGAAATAAGCAGTGCCTTTGTTTCCGAATTCTTATTCCGCCGAGTTACTTCAATTTATGCCGCATCACGAAGGGAATTGTGACGGAAGGTATTTTGAGTCTACACATTTGCGGGTGCTGATGAGACGGACAAAAAAAAGTTTACCATGGCATCGGATATTCAAAACGCCATTCTCAATGCAACTACGACGGACGGTACTTTTGGGTTACCGGTACAAAATTCGGATGTCGTGAGGGTCGGAAAAAAGAAGTCAAGAGTATCGATGTCCCCGAGCGAAATTTCATGTTTATCAAGTCACATCCGTAATCAGTGAAAGTAGTACGCCTCCATCACCTTATATCTACAATGGTGTGTAGTCACTATAGTTGGAGGGGAATCTCACTGTTCTTGTCTGTTGAACAGCGATTGAAAAAGCAGGTTTTGTGGGTTGGATGTGCTCAAATGACATCTGAGCGTTCTCCCGATTCCTCTTGTTTGCTTGTGTGTGTCTGCAATGTCTCCCAAGAGAATTCGCGTCGTGCCTGACCACGCACGACTCGAGCTGATTCATCGTTTTCACGATGTACTTTCGGCTCCAAAAGGCCCTCTGCCCTCTGCCCCCCGCCCCCATGGAGCACCCGGGGTCGGGCGACCGGCCGAATAAGGCCCGGGCTGCCAGCCAACCAGCAAGCACGGTCCAGACGACAGGCGGGTCTCGTTACCGACCCTCATTTGTCGAAACTCCGTGACCGAAGGAATGCCGAGCACTTGCTCATGACGAGATAATATCGGGGGCAGACTTCTAGAATGAATTTCACTATTTAGGAAAGAGGGACACTTTTTAAGATAGAATTATGTAATTAGTATTAATAAATCGGGTTAATATCACGAAAAACTATAAACTGGTATGCCTATGATAAATTTACTCAAAACTAATATTTTAACGATCGAAAATCCCAAACTGGTACACCGATGACAATTTTACTCCGAACTAATTTTTTGATCACAAAAAAATCCAAACTGATATATCTGTGATAATTTTACCCCGAACTAATTTTTTAACCACAAAAAACCACTAACTGGTACACCTGTGACAAATTTACCCTCCGTTAGTTTTCGTTAAATTTTACTGTCAAATTGCTAAGTTTGATGACGCGTGGTAATTGACGAGTGTACCAGTTTGGGGTTTTACCCATCTGTTTGTTACAAATTTACCAATTTGTGATATTAATCAAATTTAATGGATGATAAATTTGTCACAAGTGTACAAGTTTGGGGTTTTTTGTGGTCAAAAAATTAGTTTTGGGTAAATCTGTCATAGGTGTACCAGTTTGGGATTTTTTGTGGTAAAAAAATTAGTTCGGGGTAAAATTGTCATAGGTGCACCAGTTTAGGGTTTCTGGTGGTCAAAAAATTAATTGGAGGTAAAATTGTCACATGTGTACCAGTTTGAGGTTTTTGGTGATCAAAAAATTAGTTCGGAGTAAATTTGTTATATGTGTACCGGTTTGGCTTTTTTCGTGGTATTATGTTATTTTAGGCTCCGTTCATTTCGTGAAGAAGAATGAATGGTTCGGAATCCAAAAAATAATCATCTGTATTGCTATAAATAATTAGTCAACAAAATATATTTTCATCGTCGACGGTGGACGATAAAAATATCTTCCGCTCATCCAATTTTATAAAGAATACAAACGATATAAATTATTATTGGCTATGAAAATATATTATACAACCGATCAGAAAACACTTTACGCCAGTCAAATCAGCTTCTGAGAACCTTTCATTGACTTTTGTTTCTAGGGTTTGAGACCCACAACGCTCATCATCTTCTTGCTCTCGCCTCTTTCTCCCTACCCCTCTCTCTCTCTCTCTCTGCAACAGGCGCCATAGAAGACTACACTCCGAGGTCGCAGCGCAAGGGTTCTCTGCTCCGCGCGGTCCTTTTCTCGTTTCGTGCGGGGTCGGTTCTGGCGTTCCGTACCGCCGACGATCCGCGACTCCGGGGCACCGGCGTTCCATTTCGCGGTTCGCCGGCGCGGCGACGATCGTCTTGGGGGGGAGGGGGCAGGGCGGCGGCGGCTAGCGAGCGCGCTGCGGCGATGGATGCTTTGAGGAGCTACGGAGCTTGCTGGAGGGAACCCGCTCTCCAGCCGCCGCGTCTTCGAAGGAGCGATGCTTACAAGAGGTGTATATATTGTGCTTATATATAAACAACTCTTTCCAGCGACTGATTGATTATTTTTATGTCGGATGACGCAACGTTGGATTGTGGTGGCTGACTCGGGACTTGTTCTTCCCGACATTCGTGACGAGCTGTTTGTCCTATCCGATGGCGAGTGTGGATATTGCCGGGGGGAAAGCCGTTGAATTTTGACTTGTTCTGTGTGTGCCCAAGATGGTCGAGAATGACCCGAAATGAAAAATGCTGTTTGCTCTTTGCGAGAGGGGCATTGGCTTTGTCATTTGTTCTCCTCTGATGTGCATAGTTGATGAGACCATGTGTAGATGATAAGCAGAGCGAGTTCGAGGAGTTTATTTACCGCGGGGATTCGTTACAATGACGGATAATTTGGAAATGATGAAGTGGAGACATCGAGGTTTACAAACTCGCGCATGGAATAGTGATTGTGATAATGCCACCCGATATGTAGTGGCTTAAAAGAAATAATTTTGGGCGACTCTGTTAGAAAATTGTGCGCTTGAGATTCTATATTTTGTGCTTTGGATCAGTCACTTTGGTCATAGTTTTTGAAACATAATCTCTTCATTTTGTTCTATGTAATAGAGTTAGGAGGGGGCATTACAAGTTTCTCGCCACCCAAATCAGTGACCTTTTTTTTTATGCAGAGTAATCTATCCTTTTATCAAGACAATTCCACGGAATAGTTTTACTATATCACGTGCTCGGGTGTTGTGGTAAAATTTTCGGTATCTGATAACCACTTGGGCAATTCTATGTAGTTTAAAGGGATGTTGTTAGAGTGGGTTACCTTGACTTGTGCATTCATTTGGATAGTTTGTATATTTCTAACAATAATCCTCCTCATGTCTAGCAGGAGGAATGTGCAATGGAGGTTTCCACGAGCAGCTGTCATACCTAATTTTCATCTCCCTATGCGTAGTTATGAAGTTAAAAACAGGTGGGCCATCTGAGAATGATGATGGTGGGATTATCAGGAGTTTGCTGCAAATGATGGATATATTTTTTCTTTGCTTGTTTGTTTTTCGTGTTTATTTGGGACATAGTTCTAGTCCTTGCCTGCTTTCTCTACGTGCTTCCATGTGGTGGTGGTTTTCAAGTTTTTCAGCATCCTACTGAGATTTACTATGGTTGGGATTGTGTAAGGGAAATTTGTAGTAACATATGTTCCCCAATTTGTGTTCTGCTAGGAAGTTGATAAAACATACTCAGCAGGCAGTCCATGTTCTCTTCCTCACTCGATTGAAGTGGCATCTGCTATCATTAACCCATGTGTACTCCTGCTGCTTTTTTTCAAAGTTCTTGTGCTTTCCTTTAGCAACTTTTATCTAATTTAGAGTAAGAAAAGTGAAGAGTGTTTGATAGAATTGAGAAAAATTTTGTGATACTAAAGGAACCGTGGTTTCGTCTTCTCCTTTTTCTTCTTTTCTCTTTGTTTCGTCCGTATAGAAATAATGCAGTTACATCTTTGAGATAGTGCGTACCTTAGGAACCAAGGTGTCTGTCATGTTTCCTATGCTGCATTTATTTAAAAGTACACCCCCTTTTCCCTTGGGTATATTGTGTCACTGTAAGCCTAAATATGGAGGATCTGGTTTCTTTTGATGTGTCTACGATTGTTTGAGTAGTTGAGTTATAATAGGTTGCGTGATGTGTTTGATTTTGCTCAATCGTATGGTTTGCATACTCCTCATATGGCTTATAGGTGGCAATATATTTAAGCAGAAGTCTGGGAAGACATCAAATATGCTGAGAATCTGGACCGAGGCTTTAAGATTTGCCACACTGCTTCTGCTGTTTCCTTAGAATAGTTCCAATTGAAAATAATAGATTTGGATGCATCTTCTGCGCTAGCACAATCCGACTTTTTTCGGTTGGTTCTGGTAGTGTTTTACAGCAATGGGGCGGGAGGCTTGTGTCGAACCTGTAACTTAACCACTTAAATGCTATTAAGCAATTTGTGAAGAAGATTACACTTGCGTAGCTGCTTCTTTTTTCTCTGTGTGTGCATATTCCTCTCCTGTTTTCATCATGAAATGACTGCACTCGTCATCTGACAAAATCAGAATAGGTTTTGTATTGCTTATTTTTACACAACCATTTTGTGCTAGTTTTGGAATGGCTACATGGTCATAAAATGCAAGTAACGTTTTTTTTTATTTATTTCTAAAAGATTTTCTATACTTGCAGGACATCAACAGAGGATATAAAGGCTCTTCGATTGATAACGGCCATCAAGACGCCATACCTACCTGATGGCAGATTTGATCTTGAAGCGTATGACGACTTGATTAACATGCAGATAGTACAAGGTGTAGAAGGTGTAATTGTAGGTGGCACAACTGGTGAGGGTCAACTGATGAGTTGGGATGAGCACATCATGCTAATTGGTCACACAGTTAATTGTTTCGGTGGATCGATTAAAGTGATTGGAAACACTGGAAGCAACTCAACCCGTGAAGCAATTCATGCATCTGAGCAAGGGTTTGCTGTTGGAATGCATGCTGCTCTCCACATTAATCCGTACTATGGAAAAACCTCCTTGGAGGGCTTGATCTCTCACTTTGATTGTGTGCTGTCTATGGGCCCTTCCATCATATATAACGTGCCTACAAGAACTGGCCAAGACATTCCGCCCCGTGTCATTCACGCCTTGGCTAAGAGTCCCAATTTGGCGGGTGTTAAGGAATGCGTTGGGAATGACCGGGTTAAGCAATATACAGATAATGGCATTGCTGTCTGGAGTGGAAATGATGACCAGTGCCACGATGCCAGGTGGAACTATGGGGCTATGGGAGTTATATCCGTCACTAGTAACTTGGTTCCAGGATTAATGCGGGAACTCATGTTCGGAGGGAAGTATCCGTCTCTTAACTTGAAGCTCATGCCTTTGATAGAATGGCTGTTTCACGAGCCAAACCCAATTGGCTTAAATACTGCCCTTGCCCAGCTTGGAGTTGCGAGACCGGTTTTCCGTCTACCTTATGTACCACTTCCTCGGGCTAAGAGGGTGGAATTTGTGAACCTGGTTATGGAGATTGGGCGGGAGTATTTTGTGGGAGATAAAGAAGTTGAGGTCCTCGAGGATGATGACTTCATCTTGATTGGCCGGTACTAGTGTCTGGTGTAATCTGCATCCTGGAGACTGGTTTTTTAGCTGGGAAAATGATGTCAAAGAAAACCAAATAGAGAACAATAAATCAAGTCGGAGCTTCGGCTTATGATGTTTGTGAGTTAAATATGGATCTGTTGCTGTGACTACTTGAGTTAATGAAATATGTTTTGTACCGATAGATTTTTGTTCTGCAGTGGGTTAGACAACAACAGGTGTGCTGATTGATTAGTATATTTTGCTTTGAGATACTACCCATGTTAGTCCAACGGTTTATCGACCCTTTCCGCTGTAATTTCTTTTGATTTTAGGAGATCAAGGAAAGTTCGTCTATCTTGCATTTAATTTGTGGTTTTCTTTGGGTTTCAAGTCTTGGTTAATACAAAAAGAAGTCCATTTTTAATCATCAATGTTGCTTGGTCGATGAAACAGCTTCTATCTTGGCAGAAAAACAGCATCTATCATTTATACCCGCGACCATCGTCACCTCCTGCGCTCTCGCCACCATCCACCATCATCTCCACGGATCTGTTGGGAGCCTTTGATCAATCACGAACCATGACTCGTCGCGTTATCATCAACTATTTTGAAGCTTTCGTGAGGATGGGAATTCTACTTTTTTCTTTTGTTTGGTTTAAGGTCGTTCGTATGAAATGCACCGACGAAAAGCAATTCCATGTTGAACTTGAAAGCAGTGTCTCTTAGCAAAGCGTCACACCCAACATCCATCTTTGGAAGTTAAACTTGGAAATCAACCTTCGTATGGATCAAATACAACTTAGTGCTTGCTAGCTCGATTGCTACACTAGAGAACTACGGATGATAAAACAGACTACGGGCAAAAATTTATATGAAAACGCTCACCCAGAAAAAGCAGAGCCGTGTGGATTTCCTTTATTCCATCCCCACACCCTAACGCTACTTTAGTTTAGAATTCATAAAGGTCGATCGTTTGATCACCGTTGCGGTCGATTCATTCGATTTTTTTGTGCTGTGTGCAGGTCCTGAGAGTCGGGTTTCAGCTGGCTTGGCGGGTGAACTTGCTCTCGAGCTGAATGAACAGAGCCCTGTTCTCTCGATGGAGAAACAGAGCTCTCTGTCTCAGCCTCTCGTTCGCCTCCATGATGCTCTGGTTCTCCATGTACAGCCTCAGGTTCTTCATTTCCATCTCCTCCTTCGCACCCACCAGCCATCTCTTCGTCTCCTTCTCTTCCTTCGGTGGTCTCCTTGTCCTCCTCTTCCTGCGACAATCTCAGACATCCTCCTTTTAGAGATAGAAACACGGTGTCTATGTACAATATGGGCCAGAGTATCTACTCGTGTACTTGATAAAGCCATGAGAAAAGAGCATGCATTGGAAATTGCAAATGAATGAACGCCCCAAACTGGGTCTTTTTTCGCGGAATCCATATACATAGAGAGGGAGAAAAGGACCTGCTTAGCGCGAGAACGCGAAGATTACGGTGCTTCAACTGCCGCCGACGGAGACTCCACTTCGAGGAATTCGTGCACATGTTCAACCACGTCCGAGACAGAGGAAGGGGGGGCAAGAAGAGTGATGAATTGATGGAGATGGGGGGTCGTTCGGCTATAGAAGAACCGGTCGTCCGCGACTCACCGTGTGATGAGGAAAGAAGGGACGGAGAGAGTCAGACATATATAGCTGGAGCAAATGTGTTCGCCAGTGTTATTCACCGTCACGATCATGCTAGAGAGAGAGAGAGAGAGACAGAGGGTTTTCGTCGCAATGATGACAGAGGGAGACTCATGATTACAGAGGGCAGCTATTGATGAAGAATACAGAGAAGAAGACGAGGGGAAAGATGGCTTTTACTTTCTCTCCCTCTCTTCTCTCTTTCATTTCTAAAAAGAAAAATACTGTGCTGCTTTTCTCGACATGATGGCGAGCGTAGAAGAAGAACCAGCGAAGTGAAAACGACCCGCTATGTTCCTTCCGTCCGAGTTCCACCCCACGAAGGTAAACCTTTTTCCATTCACCTTATGATTTCAGGGAAGTACATCTAGGCTTATTTGCTATCTACACATGTTATTCTTCCACGACTGTCGCATCGCCAACTCTCCATCGCCGCTGCCGCTGCTGCCGGCGAAGTTGTAGTCACTGCTCCGGGCCAAGCCGTCCCGGTTTGTCTTAGATCGGGTCGCCTCACGGTCATCTGCCTCCCTCCCTCCCCGTTCGTGCCCCGAGCCGTCGACTCTTGCAACCTTGGAGGAACCGCTGCCTCCGGATCTAGGAGACTTTTTACGTATACGGTCTTGAGAAGGAAAATCAATTTCTTAATATAATGATGAAAAATACATAGATGTCACCAATTGAATCCCCCTATGGAAGTAAATTTCTTCATCAACACGGATAATGGCTTCGATAACGATATCGACAGTGTAAGGTCACATATGTACATATGTAAGTACGTACATATAAACTTTATCCGGGTTGATCCTATCTAGAAATTTTACAAAATATATGATAGGATAAATTACATTATACACGATCTTTATCAGTTTATCAAACCTCTTTGTAGCGGCAATAAAATATTTGAAATTTGATATGCTCAAAATTTCGTTTTTTTTTTTGATAAATTTTTCTCTAGGAGGCATGGTTGCATCGGATTGACATCACTCGTGAGTTGTCCTTCATAACTTAACTAGTTAGCCAAAACGTTTCGAGTCGTTAAATAAAGTATATCACAGCAACTAGTGAGTTCATTTTATCAAGTAGTTAATTCCAACCGAGGACCCTAAACTTTGCTGTGAGCCATTTTTGAAGGTGACTTTCACTTTGTAGGAGTTGAAAACTCGTACCCTAGTGCATAGGACGATAACTCAGGAAAAATTGAAATCGAGATAAATGTGAAAATTTTAAAATATATATTAATGCTCCCAATTGAAGCAATTCGTCAAAAAGTCTTGTTTTAATAATATCCGAGACTCGTTTTAGTCAAGGAGAGAGGAGGGGGGGTTTGGTTTGAGAAGAAGAACGCTAACTTTCTGAAACATCTTTGCTTTTTACACAGCTAAGAATGTTTGCCTGTCGGACGAATCAAATCCAAAGCTTCAAATCAGATGCTGGGTTTAAGGTTAATCATTGGGATTATTAAGTTACGCTAATCGTGGGGACCATATTTTTGACTAATTTGCTGAAATTTTCCTTTGGATTATCAAATTAGAGAACAAAAACAAATATGTGCAAAGTTATATAGAGCTTGTCACTGGGTAGGAGAAGACTTTGAGTTCATCTAATCATATGATTATTCCGGCATGAGCCTGTTTACCAAACGGAAAATGCCGTGTATAAAGGGTTTGGTAAGTTTCGATTGGGTGTAAAAACAAGTGAAGCCATATATTGAATTATTGGCTTCGTCATACACATCCAATATAAATTTCCCATCTTCTAATACGTCGTAGTATCCTTAACGTATATAACAATAGGTGGCTCTAAACTCGACACCTAGGAATACAGGCCGGTCTCAATCCGTTCATAAGACTTGCGCGGTGTTTCTCGAGCCTTCAGGCAGTCGGACCTCCGCGCTCGTGTCCCCGGCTCGTCGCAAAGAAACGCGTGTGCAAAAATGAGAATCCGTGGACGATGTCCTTCCTCGAAAAGCAAGCGCCATGCATGTTATGAAGCGCAGAACGCTTGACTTGTCGTCGGTCCAGGTTATATATAATTCTTATTAGAGATAATGATGAGACATGTATGAAAGTACAAAAGGAAGGCCACGTGCGAAGAAGGTGGTCATCGAGTGCAGGCCAATAAGAAGATAAAAAGAGGGGAGGAACGAAGGGAGGAACGAGTGGGAAAAGGAGAGAGTTAGGGGGAGAAGGTGAAAAGGGGAGAGCAGTCAATGGGGTTAGGTTTCCTTCTTTCGTCCCCTTTTTCTTCTTGCAATCGAGTGCCCCCCCTCCCCAGAGCCATGCTCGTTCATTTGGAAAACGAAACCCGCCCCATCTTTGGCCTCTTCTTCTTCTTCCTCATCATCATCATCATCACCCAGATCTCTCTCTTTCTCTGAACCCACACGCATCCAGTCCACTGTAAAAAAGTGACCATGATGATGATGATAATGATGATGATGGTGGTGGTGGTGGTGGAGGTGGTGCTGCTGGTTGTGGTGGTTTTTGTCCAACTTTTTCTGGTCCACTTCACATGGCTATCCTAGAAATCAGCTAGTTTCCAATCTAAGTACGGTTGCCCGATTACATCTTTTGGACATTATCAACTATTTTTTTTTTATATGTGAGAGACCATAAGAGGCGTTGGTCATGTGTTCAGATTTGGTCATTTAATATTTGTGTGTGATCTCATCTCAAACCCTTTTGCAAAAAATTAATTTCTCAGCAAAGGCGACTTGGATTAAAGAAAAACAGAACTTTGTGTTGAATTGTCAAACAATTGATTGGATGTAGATGAACTCAATATGTAAGCGTTCTCTGTTTTTTTTTTCTTTTTTGGATGAATAGCTCAATATAATCTCGGAAGCAATGCATATGCCAGTAATATGTCGTGTAACCTTCATGCATGTAAGAATTATACTCTAGGTTTGAACTTGAGTTTCGCTTATCCTTTAACTCTAGGATAGCGTTTCTATTTATAGAATTTGTTTTCTAGCTGTTACAGTAATTACATAAGATAAGAATGGACTAATTCAAAATATTTTGAATTTTGAATTAGTCCGGTATAGTAGTAACTAGAGTAATAACTACATTCGTTACAATAATAACTATAGTAATAACTAATTTAGATAAGAATGGACTAATTCAAAATATTTTGAATTTAAACGAGTCATGCATTATCATCCTAAACAGGCCCCCGCAAGTTGAAGGTGGTCTTCTTGATGATCTTCAACTTGGATCTGAGCATATCATGACGACACCTTGTAAGAGGCTTGGTGAAGATATCCGGTATTTGGTGTGTGGATATGAAGCGAACCTCAAGTTTGCATTGTGACACTAAATGGTGGACGAAGTGAAAGTCTACCTCGATATGCTTTGTTCTAGCATGAAAAAGTGGATTCACCGTAAGATACGTTGCCCCTAGGTTGTCGCACCAAAGGATAGGAGGTTTTGATTGAGAGATGCCCAATTCTTGTAACAGTGATTGCAACCATACCACTTCTGCCGTGGCATTTGCCAATGCCCGATACTCAGATTCAGTTGAGGAACGTGGAATGGTATGCTGCTTTTTGGCTGACCAAGAAATTAGATTTTGACCCATATAAATTGCATAACCTCCTGTTGAACGCCTATCAGTGGGACAACCGGCCCAGTCCGCATCATTGTATGTGTGGAGTTCTATTGTGGAGTGAGAACTGATGAACAATCCATGCGAAACGGTTTCCTTTAAGTAGCGTTGGATCCACTTTACCGCACTCCAGTGGTCTTCTGTTGGTTCTTTCAAGAACTGGTAGACTTTGTTTACCGCATAAGAGATATTTGGCCGAGTCAGGGTGACATACTGAAGAGCTCCTACTGTACTCCTGTACAAAGTAGCATCTTCAAGTGGCTTACCCTGATTAATTAAATTGGAATTTGTAGCCATGGGTGTGTGAATCGGTTTAACACCGTCCATTCTGGTTCGGTGGAGGAGATCTATAACATACTTCTGTTGTGATAGGAGGAGCCCTGATGGATGTTTGATCACCTCAATTCCCAGGAAATAATTAAATTCGCCCAAGTCCCTTATAGAGAACTCCTTGTTTAAGCAGTTAATAGTATCTTGAATAAATGCCGCGTTGGACCCTGTAATAACAATGTCGTCAACATAGATGAGCATGTAAAAGGAGAAATTGGGCCGATATAGTATAAAGAGGGAAGTATCGGTTTTTGATCCAATAAATCCCAGTGATTCTAAAAAGATGCTCAACCGATGGAACCAACCTCGCGGTGCTTGTTTCAATCCGTATAAGGATTTTTGTAGCTTGCATATATGGTTTGGCCTTTCTTTATCAATGAAGCCCTGGGGCTTAGCCATGTAGACTTCTTCAGTCAAGTTACCATTTAAAAATGCATTGCTAACATCCAACTGCCGGAGTTTTCAATTCTTTGTCACAGCTAATGATAGTCATGGCCACAGTTCGGAACCGACCGGTTCGTGGCCAAGTATGAACCGGACGGTTCCGGGCCTGTTCATAATTTTTCTTTTCTGTTCTTTTTCTTTTTCTTTTCCTTTTCTTTTTTTTTTCTTTTCTTCCTCCGCGCCATAGCCGAGGCCTAGCCGCCGGGCGGAGTCGCCGGCTCTCGGGCGAGGCCGCCTCGCCGGCGTCGGGCGAGTCCGGCCTCGCTTGAGCGGCGAGGCCGGCGAGGTCGAACCCTCGCGAGATCCGCCGGCGAGGCTCGACCTCGCGGATCCGCAGCTTCTTTTTTTTTTTTTTTTTTGAACCGGGCCCGAACCGGCGGTTCCGGGCCGGTTCAAAAATTTCTGGAATCGGAACCGGGCCCGTGGGGGCATGGGCCGGTTTCGGTTCCAAACCGCGGGCTCGGTCAACGGGCCGGGCCCGGGTTTGACCGGGCCGGTTCTGGTCCGGTTCCGAGCCGAAACCGGCCCGTGGCCATGACTAGCTAATGAAATAACTGTACGGACGGTGATTGCTTTAACAACGGGACTAAACGTTTCTGTGTAGTCGATACCCTCCAGCTGATTGTAGCCTTTGGCCATGAGGCGAGCTTTGTACCGATCTATCAAACCATCCGCATGTGTCTTGACTCGATAAACCCATTTGGAGCCCACGACTTTGCTTTGGGATTCAGTGGAACCAAAACCCATGTT